ATAGTTTTATTTGTTTATGCAAAAAAAAAAAAAAAAGTTTATTACCCTTCTAAGAACCAGGTGGAAGGAATAAAGGACTCCTGATTTAAAGGTGAAGAAGACATGGTCTCACCCTTGAAGTGGTCCCAGAAAGGAAGTGAGACCAAGGTCAAAGCTCAGGACAGAGTGCTTTATATCAGCAGGACATGAACAGAGAGATGTGGGTACACTGAGGCTGTGTGTGTGGGAGTAGGGAGGCTTCATGAAAAGGAGGTGATATCTCATGGAACCATTAGGACTTTGTGGGTCAAGAGGAGACCGAAAGCATTCTACCCAAAGGCAACTTTATGTGCAGTGGCACGGAGCTGTCCCACAGGCTGTGGGACAGCCTGGCTCGTGCCATGAATGATGTGCAGCTTAGCATGGGGTTGCTGAGGGTGGAGTTGGGGAAAAGTGGAAAGGAGTATGGTTGGAATGATGGAGTGGAGCTCGAATGCACTAAATGTTTGATTAACTAGATTGCCTGCTTAGGAATTCAGTTGCTTTCAGTTAAAAATCCCAGAGGTGTTAAAGGGGCTAAGATCCAGTCTATTTGTGAAGGTGTTCAGCTTTTACAAATGGCCTACTCTGTTACATATTTTAATGGCTCTGGTAAGAATGCTGGGAAAGGAACTCCAGGGAGCAATAGATAGTAATTGAGGCTGATATAATTTGTAGGGTATTGGCCTATCTGGATTTATCTAATAAGGATTTATAGCTAGATAAAATCTAAAGTGTTAAATCTAATTCCACTCCTCTCATATGCTCTGTAGCTCTCCCTCTAACAGGGAGGAAACAAGGCTTGCTTCATGAAGCCCATAATCTCGTTAGTGAAGTAGTGTGGTTGGAGGGATGAAGAGCACAGACTTTGAGTAAGGCCGACCTTGGTTCTAATCATGTCTTTGTAAGTGGCTGTGTGACCTTCAGCAGCAAGTGCTTAAATTCCTCTGAGCCTTGGTTTACTTATTTGTGAAACAATTATAGTTGGCCTTTGGTCAACAAACCACTCTCCAGATGCTAGCTATCAACAGTAGACTCTGGTAGCCAGAGTGACAGAAGATACAATAGAAGTTCATCAATTAAAGAAAAATAATATACCCTACCATAATAGAGTTGTTAGAATAAATGAGAATTAAATATAAGGAGCCTAATACAGAGCTGGAACCTGAGAGGCCAAAATGCTGGATTAGGAGGCAGAATAACTTAATGGTTAAGAATTCAAATTCTGCAGCCTGACTCCTGAGTTTGCTTACTAGATCTATGACCATAGACTAATTAATTAATTTATTATTTAACCTGTAAGGGTCTCTGCTTCCTCAAAATGGTAAAGCGAGAGTAATAACAGTAGCTACTTCATGGACTTGTTGCAAGAATTAAGAGTTCATTTAGAATAATACCTGTCACCAACGAAGCATCCTCCCACCATTCCCCACCACTGTCACTGGATTAACAAATTACAAGGCACTCACCAAAAACAAGTGCTGAAGATTCCATCTCTTTAACATCATTCTAATTGTTTTACTTCTCTCTCTAGCCCATTTCCTGTCTTCACTCAGATTATCTTTCACCAGACTACTGCTAAAGGCTCTTCTATTGTTTTTGCTTCAGTTCTTTTTATTCCCCTAATATATTCACACACTAGCCAAAGTGATCCTCTCAAGAAAATCTTATTATTTTCTCTCTTTATACCTTTTCCCAGGTGATTTCACTCCCCTCCTTCCCACTTTCCCACCTCCCTTCCACCGCCCATGATCTCATTTCATCGTCGGCTCTTGCTTCTCAGATGCCAAAATTAATAAAATCTTAACAACAGAGTATTACATAGACTCAAAAATCTCCTACAATTACAAATGGACAATAAAAATTTTACAGTTTTTTCTGAGAGATACCACCTTAATTAACTGATCAGAATTATCATTAACAATAGGACAAAGCAAATTATATGCCTCCTAGATAGTTCAGTGAGAAGGATTCAATATCACTTCTGCAGTTTTCCTGCCAAAAGTGTATATCCTAAATCTGAATCAGAAAGAAACATTAGAGAAACCCAAATTGACGGATAGTCAACAAAATAAATGGTCTATGTGTGCTTGCTAAGTCACTTCAGTTGTGTCAGACTCCTTGCGATCCTATGGACTGTAGCCCACCAGGCTCCTCTGTCCGTGGAATTCTCCAGGCAAGAATACTGGAGTGGGTTACCATGCCCTCCTCCAGGGGATTTTCCCAGCCCAGGAATCTAACCCTGTGTTTCCTGCATTGGCAGGTGGGTTCTTTACCACTAGCACCACCTGAAAAGCCCAGATGGTCTGTACTCCTCAAAAATGTCAATCATGAAAGACAAAGACTAAGGAACTATTCCAGATTAACGGAGGCCACAGAGACATAACTGAATACAGCATGTGATCCTAGACTAGATACTGGCCCAGATTTTTTTTTTTTTTCATTTTCTATAAAGGACATTATGGGACAATGACAAATTTTCAGTAAATTCTGTAGTACTGTATCAATGTTAGTTTCCAAAATTTGACAATTATACTGTAGTTACGTGAGAAAAAAAATTTTTACTAAGAATGTATTAGCAAATATATATTAGAGCTCCAGAGAAACAGAACAAAAAGATAAATATGCAGAGAATAAGGGCAAACAAGCAAAAGAGAGAGATTTATTATAAGCAGTTGGCTCACATGATAATGGAGGCTGACAAGTCCCTAGATCTGCAGGGTGAGTCAGCAAGCTGGAAACCCAGGAGAGCTGATTGTGTAAGTTACAGGTCAAGCCCGAAGGTTTGAGAACCAAGAGAAGCAGTGCTATAGTGCCAGTCAAAAGCCAACAGGCTGGAGACCCAGAAAGTGCCAGTGTTTCAGTTCAAGTCTGAAGGCAGGAAAAAAGCCAGTGTCCCAGTTCAAAGGCAATCAGGCCAGAAAGAACTCTTTTTCAGAGAGGGTTAGCCTTTTTGTTCTGTTCAGGCCTTTAACTGATTGGATGAGACCCAGCCACAACAGGGAGCGCAATCGGCTTTACTCAGCCTACCAATTTAAATCTCATCCAAAACCACCCAGAATAACATTTGCCCAAATATCTGGGCACCCTGTGGCCCAGTCAAGTTGACACTTAAAATTAACCATTGCGAGTAGTTAGAGGTAAATGGGCTCGATCTCTGAAACTTTCTCTCAGATGGTTCAGAAAAAAATTATATATGTGTAGATAGAGAAGAAATAAAAGCAATCATGATAAAATGTTAATATTTGGATAATGTGGGTATCAGGGTGAGCAGTATACAGAATTATTTGTACTATTTGTAGTTATTTGTAATTTCTGTAGCTCTGAAAGCACTTAAGAAAGAGTTAAAATGCATACACACACAGAACCATATATCCAACATGACATCTCTTCTTGGATATCATAAAGACACTTCGAACTCAAGTCCAAAAAGAATTGGACACCTAGTCTTCCCCACCCTTCCAACCCTTCTTCCAAAATTCCGTATCTTAGGGAACAAATGCCATCCATCTTGATGTACAAAGCTGATAATTATCCTTCATAGTTTTCCTCCCATAATTAGCCCATCACCACACCCTATGGGTTTTACCCTCCTAATGTATACCTTGTACCCACAATTTCTTTCCATCTCCACCTCCACCACCACCATGGTCTAAGACATAACATTCTCACCTAGACTGCTACACCAGCCTCCAAACTGGTCTTCCTGCTTGTGCCATTACCTCCTTTACGGTTCTCACACTGAAGCCAAGGAGCTTTGCAAAATACAGATTTAAAGATGGCTAAATGCAATGCATGATCCTTGACTGACTTTCAAAAAATAAAGGCACTAATGAGACAACTGGGGAGATTTGAATATCAACTGTATATTAGATAATAGTATTGAACAAATGTTAAATGTCTTCGGTGCGGTAATGGTATTGTGGTTATATAGGAAAATGTCCTTGTCTTAGAAGATACATGCTTAAGTATACAGCAGTGATTCACGGGATTATCGTGGTAAGAATACTGGAGTGGGTTGCTACTTCCTACTTAAGGTAGCTTCCCCAGCCAGGGATCGATCTACAAGATCTATTGGCAATAAAATGGATCAATCCCCATTGCGCAGCGATTATCGTTTTCTTTGCAACTTCTCAGGTTCAGAACCTCCTAGGACCCCAAGAGGGTCTTCTCCAGCTGCTCAGAGGTGAAAGAATCTGCATGCGCTGTGATGCGTAAGACTCAGGAAACCTGGATCTTCCCTATAGCTCAGATGGTAAATAATCTGCCTGCAACGTAGGAGACCTGGATTCGATTCCTGGGTAAGGAAGATCCCCTAGAGAAGGGCATGGCAACCCGCTCCAATAGTCTAGCCTGGAGAATCCCGTGGACAGAGGAATTTGGCGGGCTACAGTCCTTAGGGACGCAAAGAGTCGCAAAGGCACCACAAAAGTGACTGAGCATGCACGCACGCACGACCTCAAGAGACAAGCAGAGACTACAGTTCCCGTGAGCCCTCACCTGCCTGGTCTATCGCGTAGCGAGGACTCCATTTCCCAGAGTGCTTCTGGATGCGAGATCTGCATTCGCCCGGCTTGTCAGGAGTTCCGTCCCAGAGGGGGAACTGCGGTAGCCAAGCCTGAGTGCGAGGTAGAAACGGTACAGTTTGGGGTTCAGGGAGGGGGCATAGGGACAGTGGCTCAACCAAAAGCCCGGAGTTGCATATACCCTACTCTTCGAACCTCCAGCTCATTCTTTGAGAATCCCCTTAGAAGCGCGGGCTCGCTCTCTAATCATCGCCGCTCTTCAGCTGCTCTCTGCGGAGGGCACAATCCCCCACGTCACACAGAGGAAAGGGGCAGTGCCTCGCATCTCACTGTCTCTCGTCTAGACGGGCTCCCAGGGTGGACGCTGGCCGGAGGCGGGGGCTGGGGTGGTTGAGACTGGTAGCAAGAGCGAGGTCCTGACCCTCACTGCCCCCGTCTCTGTCTCTGCCGTAGCCGATGCTGAGTGGGCAGCTGGTCGTACGCCTGTTCTCCATGGCCAGCCGTGTTTGCATGTCCCGGGGCAGCGCGGGATCAGGGGTCATCGGTCCCGTCGAGGCTGCCATTCGCACGAAGTTGGAGCAGGCCCTGAACCCCGAAGTGCTGGAGCTGCGTAACGAGAGCGGCGGCCACGCTGTCCCACCGGGCAGTGAGACCCATTTCCGCGTGGCGGTGGTGAGCTCTCGCTTTGAGGGACTGAGCCCCCTACAAAGGCATCGTTTGGTCCATGCGGCGCTGTCAGAAGAGCTGGCTGGGCCAGTCCACGCCCTGGCCATACAGGCGCGGACCCCCGCCCAGTGGAGGGAGAACCCTCAACTGGACACGAGCCCCCCCTGCCTAGGTGGGAGCAAGAAAAGTCGAACCTAACCAAGGACCGGAGAGAGGGAGGACCAGGATTCAAACGGGTTGCGTGAGAATAAACTACTGGGGCTTTCTTCCATTTAATACAGTCTGGTATTTGTTAGAAACGAGTAATGTAATATGCCCATTTAACTGGCATATGCGTATTCTCAGGAGAGAGTAATTCGTTTCACATTAAGGTTCAGCTAAGGAGGGCAGACAAAAGCTGCCCAGTTGTTTCATTTTAAATTGCGATTAAGGAATCGCCCGACTTTATATAAGTTACTAGTAATCCTGTACATTAAAAGAGAAATTACACGAGGTGAATTGCAGTGGTGTTAATGGCCTGCTGTCAGTGCTACAGATGTTCTTCGAAAAAGAAAAATACTTGAAGCCTGGGCATAGTCAGAAAGAGCTTCGTTAAGCCAGAAAAGACAGGAAAATTGTTGCCAACAGGGCAAAGAGCCCAAGCAAGGGCAAAGAAGCTGGACTGGGCAGAGTTATTGGACAAAACAGCAGTTACGGATGCTTTTGAGCTTCAGGCTTGGGGGATGTTTGGCTTTCTAACAACCTGTCCATTTCCAAAAGGATTTGCATTTCTTGTGAGGAAAAAAAAAATCTTTAAAAAAAACAAGCACCAAAGCAGTGAAAAGATCATAACCTAGGAAATGAGTATAGAAGATGGAGAAAACTTTACATAGCTTTTTTTCTTATAAGCCTTCCAAACGTTGTCATAATTCTGAGGGAAACAATGTCTAGATAAGCAATTTTCTGATGATCTCTGTGTGGAGATGGAACTTAGTAAAGAAAAGGCTTGGTTAACATTTATCCACTATTTCTGGCTAAAAAGTTTAGACTGCATCTGGTTGGGCAGTAGGGAGTCATTGAAGAGTTTTGAGAGAAGGATGGCAAAGAGCATTTTGGAGCAGTGATGTTAGTGGGTTGTCATAGGAAATTGGAGGTATGGAGAGTAAACAAATGGTGAAGGCAGAACTTTGGCTGAGAGCTTAGCTGTTGAAATGGAAAGGGAGTTGATTTGAGAGCTATCATTTTTAAAAAGTCAAAAGGATTTGATTAGAACTGAAATGGACTACAGTGAGGGGAGTCAGTGGTAACCCTCAGGCAGGATTTTTAGATTTCCTCACAGATAATAATTCCCAAGGGAGCTTGTTTAAAATATGGATTCTAGGTCACCTCTTTTCCAAAAAAAGGATTCTGAATCCACAAGTCAAGAATGGAATCTGGAATCTATATTTTTTAAAAAACACACACAAAAGGATTTGGAGTGAAGTTGGTTCTACTCTCAAGAAATATCACTCCCAGGTTATTTTCATTTGCGGAGTTTTTAGATTTTTTAAATTTGTTTTTGTAAATATTATTTTATTATGGCAAAACTTAATATGAGATCTACCTTCTTAACAAATGTTTAAGTGTATGATACATTTATCACTGACAAGTACAATGTCATACAGCAGATCTCGAGTTTAATCGTCTTGCTCAGCTGAAACTTAAGGCCTGTTGATTGATAATTCCCTATGTCCCTCTCCCCACCCCACCCCCACCCCTATTATAATAGAATCACCCCTGATTCTATTCAACTACTATAGATAACTCATATAAGTAGAATCGTGCATATTTATCTTTCTGTGACTGGCTTATTTCACTTAACATAACGTCCTCATGGTTTATCACAGCAGAATTTCCTTTTTTTTAAGGCTGGCAAGTATTCCATTGTATGTATATATTACTTTTTCTTCAGGCATTTGTCAATGAACATTCAGGTTGTTTCCACATCTTAGCTATTGTGATAATGCTGCAATGAACATGAGACTGCTAAAACTTCTCCAGGATCCTGATTTCACTTCTTTTGGGTAAATACCCAGAAGTGGGATTGCTGGATCATATGGTAGTTCTATTTTTAATTTTGAGAAACTTCCATATTTTCCAGAGGGGTTGCACCATTTTGTATTCCCACCAACAGTGTGCAGGGGTTCCAATATCTCCCCATCTTCATCAATACTTTATATTATATATATATATTATTTGGAGGCTTCCCTGTTGGCTCAGAGGGTAAAGCATCTGCCTGCAATCCTGGAGACTCAGGTTCGATCCCTGGGTTGGGAAGATCCCCTGGTGAAGGAAATGGCAACCCACTCCAGTACTCTTGCCTGGAAAATTCCATGGACAGAGAAGCCTGGTGGGCTACAGTCCATGGGGTCGCAAAGAGTCAGACACGACTGAGCGACTTCACTCACTACACACACACACACACACACACACACACATACACATATATAAAATAGCTATCCTGACAGGTATGAGGTGGTATCTCATTAAGGTTTTGATTGCACTTCCCTGATGATTAGTGACATTGGGCATTTTTTATATACATATATACCTGCCGGCCACCTGATGTGAAAAGCCGACTCACTGGAAAAGACCCTGATGCTGGGAAAGATGGAGGGCGGGAGAAGAGGGCAACAGAGGATGAGAGGGTTGGATGGCATCAACTCAGTGGACATGAGTTTGAGCAAACTGGGCGATAATGAAGGGTGGGAAGCCTGGCGTGCTGCACTGCGTGGGGTTGCAAAGAAGTCGGGCATGACTGAACAATACCTGTTGGTCATTTTATGTGTTTGGAAAAATGGCTACTCAAGTCTTTAGCCCATTTTTTAATTAAGTTATTAGTAGTTTTGCTATTAAGTTGTAGGACATTGACCTGTTTTCAAATCTAGGAGACTGTGGGGGCCCTCCATCTATAAAAGTGGAAAGGTCAGCATAGAGGCCAACTCAGGAAGTAAATGTGATGCATCGTGTTACTCTGGCCTTCAGTTTTGAGAAAGGAGTTTTCCCAGCTCACCATCTTCTGCCTCAGGAGGCAGAATAAAGGTGGATGTAGGTAGAGGCGAAGAAGCAGACTTAGCCATTTTAGGTTTTAAGGATTTGTTTCCTTTTTATTTTTCATCAGTATTTTTCATTTAATTTTTTTTTACATCAACAGAGTTGGATTTAGGGTTCCCCAGGAGAGTAAGGGAGATGGATGGGTCCCTCCAGGGAGGTGCAGGGCAGAGGGCTGCGTCCAGCAAGTGAAGGGTGAAGGGAGAGGGCACGCACTCATACACTGGGCACTGGAGAAGGCAGTTCTTTGAGCACAGACATCAGAGAGTTAAACAGTCACCACCTGGTTCACTTTTACAAAATGGGAGTGACCAAAGGGTGGGGGCACCAGACGCAGCATGAGGAGGCTGAATTTGGATTTTCTTTTTTTGTTTGTTTTCACTTTTTTCCTTTTAACTTTTTAACATTTACAAACAGCTAAAAACTACAACACATCACAGCTACAGTGTGGGAGGTGGAGGATGGGGGCACCAAAGAAAGCAGCCACACGGGGCGGGGGCGGGGGGCAGGGGCAGCTTAACCTACAGGCGCTATCCTGTGGGGAGGGTGAGATGGGGAAACTGAGGCTTCTGGTCCCTGCATTAGCGGTCCCTGGCTTACTGCTGAAACTCTTCCCACTTTGCAGGAGTTGCTGGGAAAGCCCGGTTCCTGCCCCTCCCCAGCTCCTTGTGCTTTTTGATCTGCTGGTTTGACCACATACTGGTTTCTTTCCCTCCCCTGCTCCTCTGCCTGTGCGGGGACAGTCTGGAGGTGGGAGGGCAGCTGTGCTGTTCCTGTCTGTGCTATGTAGTGGGGAGAGCCTCTCACACCAGAGGAGGCCTGTGCTTGAGAGAGGGGGAGGAGATGAACCTTGTCAGATGCCCTTGGCTCTGGCTAGACTGTGAGACTCTTCTCCCAGCCTTCCGGGGCTCCTCCCACCCAGGCCAGGCTCAGAAACAAGGTTAGGGGAGGTACTGTGGGAGGCAGGTACTTGTGTGTGTGTCCAGTGAAATTACCCTTGGCTTGTATTTTAGGACAGTATAATGACACCTCCACCCCACAGCGCACACACGCACACACACACACATGTAAGTGTACACAAGCATTCACACACACACAGTCCTGCTGAGCTGCCTCAGAACTTAATATATAAATAAATAAGAATCAGAAAGCTAATTTCATAAAATTCAGGCTTCTTGTAGCCCAAATTGAGGGGGAACTGGAGGCCAGGGGGCTGAGGTTTATTGCTACTTCCCCAGCATCCAACAGGAGTCATGAGAGGGCACTCTAGGCCCTTCCAACTCTTAAGAAGTTCTTTTGGTCCATGGTCTACATCAAGCCCTAGCCCCCGGCATAACCACCTGCTTGTGGTTTCCACCAGAGCCCAGGCAGAGGGAATAAGAGGGAAGGCAGGAAGCCTGTTCTAAAGCCCCAGGAGCTGGGAAGAGCAAGGGCCTCTCACTAACACTGCGGGAGAAGGGTGGGGCCAAGCCTTCTCTTGTGCAAAGTCGGGGTGGTAAGAGGTGGGAAATAGAGCTGCACCCCAAATCTGGGATGGAGGAGCCTTTCCTGTAGTCCCTGCCCACGGGGTCTCACACATGCACACACACACACACACACTCACGCATACATGGCTAAGACACTAAACAGGAAGAGGGGAACGAGGGCTCTGGCAGCCAGGATGGCAGGGCAGGGAACAGGAAGAGGGAATTGTTGGTCTCACAGTGTGCCTGCCACCCGCAAAGCGCCAGAGATCCCCTCACTGCAGCACCTGCCCCCGGGTCTCGGGCAGCTTCAGGGCCAGAGAACTCCCGAGGGCAAGGGCAGCTGAGGCAAAGAGGATGGGGGCAGCCTTGGTGATTCCCACAAAGGACGTGAAGATGCTGATCCCCAGCACAGCTGCCAACTTACACAGGGCATTCAGGAAGCCGAAGGCTGTGGTCCTGCTCAGGAGTCCCCCAGCGCAGCACACGAGATGGAGGGGCCGGGGAGGGAGACAAAGGAAGAGGCATGGGAGGATTTGTGGGGGAAGGGTGGGCAGTGTCCAAGAGGGAGAGGAAGGGTGGAGCAATTAGAGAGGAGGGGTGCACACCAGGGAATACAGATAAATTGGGAGGCAAGGGGGAAGGGACACCAAAAAATTAGGTTAATAGTTAAGACTTCAAGGAGTGAATATAAAAGCTACCAGCTTTGAAAAAAAAAAAGCTACCAGCTTTTAGAAGAGAAACTCAAGGGGAATATGTACCCTTTTACCCTTAAAGATGCTTTTACCCATCGGCCACCTTCCTCACCCCATTTCTGTCCTGCCCTCTTGAGTCCTAAACCTGCTGCCCTGCCCCCACCACACGCCTGTTACCTCTTGTCCGAGGGGTAGAGTTCAACAGTCAACACGTCCAGCGCGTTCCAGGATGCGATGCTGACCCCCCCGAAAAGGCAGAGCAGAGCAATCATGGCGGACTCACTGTTCCCGAAAGACAGGAAGAAGCAGGAGACACAGGACATCACGCTGGAGCCAGCTGGAGCCAGGGAGGAAGGAAGCAGCATGAGCGTGGCCACGATGAAAGCCATCCACAGCCCACTCTGTCCTTCGACCAGGATGAGACTCTTTGCCAGGGTACCCAAAAGGAAGGCTTCTCCCTCATCTCCAACCTCACTTACATTGTCTTTTTTTTAACAGTATCAGTACCAACCATTCCTCAGTGCAAGCTATGCACCAGACAATTGGATGGTTTACACACATTACTAATAATTCAGCCTCCTAAGAGGTACTGTCATCACTGCTATGTTGCAGATGAGACAGCTGGGTTCACAGAGGTGAGTAACTTAGCTAAGAAGGCAACAGAGCTCAGATTCAGAACCCATGACCCCAAAGCCTGTACCCTAGTCTTGCTATTCTGCCCACCTCCTATCCCCAGAGGAGCTTCCTCACCAGACCCCGCCTGGTCATGCAGCCCCCACCTCCCTCCACTCCAAGCAGAAGATGTGAGACCCTTCTCTGACTAAGCTTTCCACAGACTACGGTGAGAAGCCCGGTGATGTCCATGCCCTCCCCCCAGCATCCTGGCCAGTTGTGACCCACCACCACCCAGCCTCTCCCCATTACCAAGCATTCGGAGCCTGCCAATCTTGTCCATGAGCAGAGCGGACACAATGTTCCCAGGAAGCACAGCCAGCGTCCCCAAGAAGCTGACAAAATACACCATGTAGGCGCCTTCACCCGTCCCCGTCACGTCCAGGGGGCAGCCCTCTTTGTTGTGCAGGAATGTGCTATTCACCAGACGGCTGTTCACAAACTTGTACTCAAACAGGTCTGGGGGCGAAGGCAAGACAGGCAGCCAGTCATGGCACATGTGAGAGGGAGGCTGCTAGTGCTCATGCTCAGGGCTGTGCCTCTGAGGGGTTTAGCCGGCGGGGCTCTCAGAATCAGTCAGGACACTATGGCAAAATATCAGATAACATCACCATAGGAGCTAGGATCCTTTTATGTCACAAAATGACCAGAGTTTACCAAATGAAACAATGCACTTAGCTGTTTCCATATTTTCTCCTTAATTATGTCTACTGTTTTCTTCTTCATTCTTTTTGTCTGCTCTAGCTAATTATAAGTAGTAGCAGAGCCATAAGTTTAGGATAAATTACTGAGCAAAATATTAAAAAGCCTTAGATGTCCTATCCATTGTTTTTTTCTGCAAGATAGAAAAACTCATTCAGCACTCCATTTAGAGGTGGGAACCCTCAGTCTAGCTCACAAAACCAGCATTTCCTGTGCATATAGTTTGAGAATTCCTGTTAAAGCAAAGGATTAAGGCCCTGACTCCCTTTTTCTCCACCAAATATCCCTTTTATTGTTTTTTCTTTTCCAAGGCTGCTCTTTTGAATGATTTTGCCCTCTTCAAAAGTGCATTAATATCACAATATTGAGTTGTTTCAATTCTAGCCAAAAGCAAACAAACTTGATGTTTTCATCAGATGTTCTACTTATTACAGAAAAGTGATCAATTACCATTAGATTTTTGTAATTGCTGGTAGTAACTAACAGGCCCCCCATCACCTCCAAGGCTCTGAAGAGCTGAGCTTGAGAACTCTGAGTTAGGGAATGAAGAAGATTCCCTTTCTCCAGCTCAGGGTCCACCCAATCCTTTGGTCTGTCAGCCTCTAGCCATCCCACCTTACCAGTGTTATAGAACACGGTGTTGATAAATGTGCAGTTGCGGAAAAATGTGTTGCTGGATGTGACATCCTCGAAGTAACACTCCTCAAACAGGGAGTCCTCAAAAGACACTGACTTCAGACGTAGCCCAATGAACCTGTAAAGCCAGGGTGATGAAAGCCACCTTCCCCTCATTCTTATACCCTCCCCCAACACTCATGAAGTAACAGTGAAGTAAGACAGGAAGCTGCAGGATTGAGAAGAACCACGGGTCTTTGCCCCCAAACACCTTGTCTCTGAACCCCCAGGCTCACAAAAAAGGCAAAGGGTAGGAGGGATGGGAGGGATGAAGCCCAAAGATCCCCACGTACTTGTCATTGAAGTACTGTCCCCCTCGGTGGATCTGATTCTCCAAGGTGAAGTTAAAAGTCACATGTTCCACGCGTTCCCCAGGAAACACTTTGGTGCGGGCTGCATAGTCCACCGCTTGGAGATGGCGGATCATGTCGGGAAACCAGACAGTCAGGCCATAGTAGCTGAAGCGTCAAGGGCAATGGAATCAGGGCTCATGGATTAAAACCACACAGTCCAGAAGGAGAAAGAAACAGAGGAGTCAGCCCATGTTAGGACCGTGCTCATCTCCCCAACCTCATCTTTCACCTCATCTCATCTTTCACCAACTGCTGTGGTTCTGGGGGACTTCATGTTTTTCTAACCCTCCCGCCTATCACTTCTTACCTCCCAGGCATTTGTCTACCTTCTGTTTAAAACAGTCTTCCCCATCCCACCCTCAGCCTAACTCCTATTCATCCTTCAGGACTTACATCCCCTCTCCAGCCTGCCAGCGATCTGAGCCAGGAAGCCCGTTCGCCTGTTCCCAGTGCACATCCCCCATGGTGGCACTCCTCATGACAGCTAGTTTGTCTAGCTCCTAGACCAAAATGTAAACTCCATGAGGACTGAGGCCACATCTATTCCATCCCAGCAGAGTACCTGGCACAGAAGAGAAACTTAATACTGTTCTGCCTATAAGTTTGTTGGATTAAGGAGTGAGGTAGATGAGCCAGGTGGAGTATCAGAGGGGATCCAAACAGCACCTTCCCCCCTCATTCATCCCCTTCATTTCCATTTTCTCCACCTCTCTCCCAACCCACAGACCATCACATCCAGCACTTCTGACCCACCCCACCCAGCTCCTCACCTGAATGACATAGTGAACCACACACCCATCATCATCAGAGTGATGCGGCGGTATTCTGGGCCAAAACAAGAGAGGAAATTCCCCCAGACCTAGGTGCAATAGGACAAAGTCATACAGTGGCTGCCAGCCAGTAGTTCTAGCACCTCCAGATCCTCATTTTTCTGCCCTACCACCTCCCTCCAGTTCACCCATCACACCCACACCCAGGCTCCAGCCCTGCCTTCCTCTCCATCTCTCCACCATCCCCTCCCCTATTACCTGCCCTCCGAGGCTCAAGGCCCGGACCCCCCAGCGCTGGTACCAGGTCCCTGTGTCTGACTGGATCTCAATCAACTCATCCTCCTGATGAATTGTCTTAATGTGGGTTACCTGGAGTCAAAAGAAGGAGTGAGCAGTCACTTAGTCTGTACTTTCCAGCCCTTCCAAGTACCCCAGTTTCTCCTGCAGTAGCAAAGTGGGAGATGGGAGGGAGACATGATACCCTGAGAGATCCCACTGAGATCTCAATGTGGCCTAGGAAGGTGGGCGTGGGTGGGGGGAGGAGTCCAGGGAGGGGCCAGGTGTGGGCACTCAGAGGACTGAGGGGAGGACTGTGGCTTACCGAGAAGACTCGCTCAGGATGCCCCTTGGCGCGCATGTTGGTGTCATGGACCTGCTTCAGTACCATCCAGGCCTCATCATGCTTCCCATTCTAGAGCCACAGAAACAATCCCCATATCCAGGTCAGCCCCTTCCTGACCCAGGGCTACAGATCATCCCCCTCCCACAACCTGACCTAGGGGCACATCCACCAACCACTCCGAAAGAGCCCAAGGGGGAGCACAGCAAGAGGTAACCAGGCTTAGGCAAGAGTCGGGGATCCCCTGGCACAATGGAAAGAGAAACTGAAAAGGGGGAAATGAAGATGATGGGCAAGTATGTAGTCAGAGCAGGAAGAGCATCCTCACCCTGCTGGGTCAGGATAAAGTGGAGTGGGGATGAGTGGGCTGTAGGATCCTCTTTTGAACCATAAAGTCAGGGCCAGGGTCAGGACCCCTGCCTGCAAAACCCTAAGCCACCCATGGTGAAGCAGGTCCTCTGGTTTTAACACCCACGGAACTCCCCTGGAAATATATTCTAAGACAAACGAAGTGAAATCAAGGCCCCCCAGACCTTGGACCCTGAGAAAGGAAGGCTGCCACATGGACCAGACCCAGCCTATGGTGGGTGTTTGAATGCAGGAGCCCCTGCTGCCCTCCCCCCAGCCCAGCCCCAACCCCAGCCCCAGCCCCATTCACCTCCAGGAAGAAACGGGGGCTTTCAGGCTGTGTGGTCAGAGCCCCAATGGCAAACACAGAAGGGAAAGCGCAGACGAGGACAAAGACCCTCCAGCTGTGGAACTGGTAAGCAGACCCCATCTGAAAGCTCCATCCTGGCAAGGACAGAGTCACAGCGTCAGCAGAGAGGCTAAAGGCTGTAAGGTCCTACCATAGGGAGCACAGGAGAGGAGAGAGAGAGTCTGGGGTGCATCTTCTGGGGGCTGCTCACCATAGTGGGGGATGATGGCCCAGGCCATAGCAGCTGCGTACACTCCACCAATCATCCAAAACATGCAGAGCCAGCTCAAATGCTCCCCACGTTTCTCCTGTGCCAGAAACTCCGAGAAATAGGAGAAGACGATGGGGATGGACCCTCCGATCCTGGAGGGCATTGCAAGAATTCAGCATTAGAAAATGGCCATATTCCTGATCCCATACCCCAGTGCTCTGGATCCCCAAGTCCCTTTCATCTTCTGAACCTTTTAAAGAGAAACTCCTCCTCACACCATGCCATATAAGCTCCCTCACCACCAGCCATCAGGCACCCATCCTTGGGACCCTGGGAAACAGGCAGGCAGGTCTCAGGGAATGGGAAGGAACAAACATTGAATCTTGAAGATGACTACAGAGTTGGAAGGGAGAGCCGATACTCACAGGAAAGAGAGGAAATCCCCAAAGGAAGACCAAGAGGATTCTGAGGAAGCAAGCCAGAACAGAGCTGGGAGACAATGCAGAGGGTACATGCAGGTGGCAGAGGAAGTGTAGAAGCTGGGTGGCTCAGGGCTTCAGAGTTCTGGCAGGTGTGGGTATGAACAAGGTTTGTTGTTGAATGCAGGAAATATTTATACTCTGGGAAGGGGATAACCACAGATATCCAGGGGTGAAGTTGAGCCCCACTGGGTCTCTTGAGGGAACCAGACTCAGAATGGAACTAAAAGGTAGGGTGGCAGACTCAGGAGTGAACCAGATATGGAATGGCAATCTGGACAGACAGTAGACAGGTCCTGGACAGGGAGAAACTGGCCTGAAGGGAGAGGATTTCATTCATTCAGCTCACACATATCTGAGGTATAGCTGGTGTGCCTGGCACCATGCAAGGCCCTAGAGGTATAACAGCAACCAAGGCGCAGCCCTGCCTTCCAGGGGCTCATGAGGGGAACACTCACCCGACCCCAGAAAGGAGACGGCAGAAAAGGAAAGTGCCATAACCCTGGACGAAAGATGAGAAAAAGGCGAAGACACTGTTGACTGAGAGTGAGATGAGCAGACACTGTCTTCGACCCAGCCGATCAGCCAGCCCTCCCCAGAGGAAGGCTCCCACCATCATGCCCAGGTAGACAATGAGGCCTGAAGGAGGAGAACAGAGGCAGGAGGGTATGAGCAGACACACTAAGGTTCTCCCACTTGCCAGACATTTAAATGAGCTGAAACTGCAGCGGCATGGACAGAGGATCTGAAGGACTTGTAGGAGCTAAGTCTACTCAGAGATGAGATCAAGTGAGAGAGGATGCATTACATGAGCAAAGATGGAAGGTCATCTCTGCAGCCTGGAGGTTCAAAGGCAGAGATGCAGACAGGGGACAACCCTAGAATTCTCTCTTTCCCTCTCATTCCTTCTTGCTCGCTCACACTCTCTTGCTGCCGCGCGCACACACACACACACACACACACGCACGCGCATACACAATACCCCCATCTCTAGCTTGCCTGGAATGAGAAGTGGATCTGCCTAGATTCCCAGACCCTCTCAGGATCCCCTCTAGCCTCTCTGACTTGATGCCCTCCAAGCTGCAGGAGATGTCTCTCATGTTCCTTGGGAAAGAGGCTCCGTTCCTTCAATCCTCCCAGGAAATCACACACACACAAAAGTGAAAGTGAAAATCGCTCAGTTGTGTCCAACTATTTACGACCCCATGGACTGTAGCCCACAGGCTCTTCTGTCCCTGAAATTCTCCAGGAAAGAATACTGGAGTGGGTTGCCATTTCCTTCTACAGGGTAACTTCCCGACCCAGGGATCAAACCCCAGTCTCCTGCATTACAGGCAGATTCTTTACAGAGCCACCATGGAAGCCCACATATAAATCCATTTTTTATTCCTTCCAATCCCAATACTTCTGGTCTCAAAACTCCCCTGTTCCTTTCTTCCTTCATAAAATCAGAGTTGGAATTGGTCTTAAAAGTTATCTACTCCAAACTCTGCATTTTACCCAGGCCCAAGCCCAGCCTGAGGGAGAAGGAAACTGCCCAAGATCTCGTGGCAACTTGGTGACAGAGCAAGACCTGATCCCTTCTGAGGGATTCCCTTCTAGGGGATTTCCTCCCTTGGGATCTCCATCAGGAAGGGCCATTAAAGATCACTCGCTGGCCCCTGAACATTCCCAATGCTAACCAAGAACAAGTGTGACCAGCTTTTCTGGCTGGATTCTCCCCAGCCCCCTACCACCCCAAACTGATTCTCCTCATTTAAATCAGGGAGTTTGGATACTGCCTTCTTGTCCCCCCCAAAAGGGGAAGGAATCAGGATAACAAGAGGAAAGACTTGGAAGAAACACTAAATGGGTGTCCATCCCACCACAGCCGTCTCCTACAGAGCTAAGCAGACCACCCCCCAACTACAGGCCCCAGCCCCAGCCCAGCTGCCTTTTCCCTTGCACAAGCAACCTCACCATGACCCAACCTCCAGAGGAGGGTGTCGGGGTCGGGGGAGGGGAGGCGGAGAGCAGGTGAGAAGAAGCCTGAGCCCTCCCGGGGACATCTGGGACCAGAGTCCCCAGGAACGCAGGACAGGAGCAGTGCTCAGGCACAGAGAACTGTTTTGCAGAGTTCGGGGCGGGATGCGCCGGAGCGCAGCGTGTCTTACCCAGCATGCCTTTGTTGGAGTCAGACAGGCACATGTCTTTCTCGGCACTGGGCAGCACGAACCCCACCACAAAGACCTCGACGCCGTCGGCCATCAGAGCCAGACCGAGCACGAAGTAGAGGGTCCACTGGAAGCGGCCGTGGCCGCACTCCCGAAGGATGGCTTCATACTGCTGCGCTAGCTCCTCCCGTTCTTTCCGCCGCTGCGCTTCTCCCCGCCCCGCCTGGGGACCCTCCCCATCACCCAAGCCCCCCCTCACTCCAGCCAGGGGCGCCCCATCTGCCATCCGCTCGCCTTTGCCCCCAGACTCTGCCCGGGGGATGCCCTGATATTCCCCCTCGTAGATCTCATCATCCTCGTCGTGGCCCTCCGTGGCATCGCTAGATGCGCCGCCTTCCTCCTCATCCTGGGCCCCTTCCCCGCGGTAATAGCCATCAGCAGGGGCAGGGAAGTCGTCATCATCGTCCTCCTCCTCAAAGCGGGAGTAGGATCTCCGGGAATATTCGTCCTGGACCCTGTCCAGGCCCTTCACCACCTTCTTGGCTGCATGCTTCTTGACTTCCTTGGCAATGTCTTTGGCCCCGCGGATGAAAGCTGCTCGGTCTCTGAAGCCCTCTTCCATGATGGGGCTTTGGGACTACCTCACCGAATCTTCCCCCCTCTTCCTTATTCTGATTCTGCACAAAGGCTCGTGGAGTCAGAAAGACCGCTTCCCGGAGTTGCTTAGATGAAGTGTGTTTGAGTAACTGGGCACAGAATAGAATATAGGATCTGGCCAGTGAGTGTCTAGGAGGGGAAGGGAGGGAAGAGCTTTGGCCCACACCCAGTTCAGTTGGGTGCATCGGGAAGGAAGAGGGGGAGAGGGAGGACCGGAAGGGGAGGGGGAGCCAGGTTGGGGAGGCTAAGCTGGGGAGCCAGGATAACTCAGAAAAGGCTGCTACTTCTCTTCCAGGAGCCTCTGGAGATCTAGAAAAAGATAAGAGGGAGAAAAAAGGAGGTTGTGAGGTTTAAAACACTGAAGAAGGCCAATATAGAGCTCCTGCCAACCCAGAGCCCCACCTGGGCCTTGTGTTACAGAGATGGCCTGTTACAGAGTCGGCCTCAAGCCCGACTCAGGAAAAAAGGATGACTGTCTGGGCCTGCTATGGGCCATTCAGTATACGTCCCTTACTTTGACCTTGGAGACTAGACCCATGGGATTTGCTCCAAAGTCATGATCACCTACCCAGAGCCCATCTCCTGATCCCTGGCCCCATTTCAAGATCAGACCTCTGCTTTACCACCTGTCTGCCAAGGATAAAAGAGGAAATAGAGAAACCAAAAGTCCCTTCTCTAGTCTGGTCTGGGTTTCTTACTGGGAGCAGAGCTTGAGGGGAACCTATAGAAAGACAACTGAATCCTTCAACCTGTTGCCTTCAGACCACTGATGGCATCTGAAGATGGGGCTTTCATGGTCCTTCCTCAGGTTCCATGTTTGTAGGCTTCACAAGGTGGAGTCTTCTCCCAACATAGCTCAGTGGGTGAAAGCTCAGCTTCCAGAGTCAGACAGACTTAGAATTGACTTCCTGCTTCAATAGCTTACTAAGTGACCATGAGCATGTCTCTGATCCTCAAAGTGTTAGTTCCCTCTCATTTAAGAGAGGGAAGTAGGATTAAATAACATAATAAGTATAAGCTCTTTACCATAGTGCCTGGCACATAACAACTGATGAATAAATATTAGTTATCATTCTTCATGGTGATAGTGATGTGGTAAGATGACCTCTACTCCCTCACAAGACATTAGAACAAAAGCCACCTGTGGATGCTCTTTAGGGTGAATGGCAGAAAGGGATACTGGCAAGGAGAGAGCTGGTTCAGTGCAAAGTGCATGACAATCAGATGACCTAAGTTGAAATTCCAGCTCTGCCATTTACTAACTGATCTTGAGCAGGTTCCTGAACACCTCTAAGCCTCAGAGTCCTTATATTTAAACTGGGTATAATAATCTCTATTTCTCCAAGTTGATGTGATAATTTAATCTCACAACCTTCTATTAGTTTCTTTCCTTCCTATTAGATTTAAAACTGTGAAAGCAGCAGCAAGGGCAAATCAGGGGGGGCCACATTTGGATGCTGTTGTCACCTCCCAATACAGAGTCCCAAGACCCCTCTGTCCGTGTTCAAGCACATGCCAGCAGCTGGACCCATACTGTCTGCTCCAAACAAACAATGGAAGACTCGCAAAAAGGGAGACCTGGAATCTGAGGTCATGAGGAAAAAGGGCAGACCAAAATCTAAAAAAGAGGTGATGACTGGCTTGCCACCTTCCTTCAGGATGTCATAAATGGACCCCCTTTCACTGGTGGGGGTAGGGGTGGAAAATCAAACACATACATTTCCAGCATGGGCGTCTAAGATCTATAGTTGTACCTCCTTCCTCCATGGCCTCCCTTTCTAATCCCCCTTAATCCTTTCTGCTCCTCCTCCAGGAGTCAAAGAAAAGGGAGTCCATAAATACCGCATTGCGTAGGAGCTGATATAGAATGAAGGGGGCTTGGACCTCCCCTCCCCCACAAAAGACATCCTCCAGAGGCAAGCATGGCAGAAGCTCCTCTTCCTTCATAGAAGCAGAGGAAGCAGAACTAGATTCTGATCAGAGATCATTCCCCTAAAAATATCCTGCTTCATTCTGTTCCCACCCATCCAGGGCCTTCACTAAATGTCACACATACACTTACACACACACACACACACACACACAGTGGCCCAGGGAGAAAGGGTAAGTAATGCTATGTAGTTCAGAAAGAAGCACTGGCAAAGCAGAGCCCTACCCCCTCAGGTCAGATGTGAGCAGTGGACCACGATGCCCAGAACCAGTGACCCCTATGTCACCTTCTTTCCTTGTGGTTCAAGGCCCAAACCATCCCCCATTAAAGAAAGGGAACAGTGGAATCCCCTTTCTGCATGCAATTTGCTTGCCTCACCTTTCCTTCCCAATTAGGATCTCCCCCCAAACCCTGACGCAGGCAGATGGACCCAGCAGGAGCCAGGCCCTGCGTTTGTTTACACTCTTCACCCCTGAGAGGAACGGGAAGGGTACAGAAGGGCCCCAGAGCCACAGCAGGATGTGATGGCTCAACAGCCAGCTCCCCCAGGGCCAACAAACCCAGGAGGTCAGGAGGGAGAGAAAGAACACAAATTCTTCAAGCTGGTGAAGAAGTGGTGCTATTTTTAGCCCCCAAAGCAGCACAGGGTGGCTAAGCTTGTGGGAGGGAGACAGACTCCGAGAGGTAGAGGTTAAAGGAGACAAGATTCAGGGTTACAGGGCCCTTTAAGGTCGGCTGTCTTCACCTGATGGGAAAACATGCCCGGGAGATTTTCTGCAGAGGATGGGGGGGAGGCGGAAGACTCTGAGCAAAGGCTTCCTCTCAGGATAACTCAGCCCAGGATTGGTTGTGGGGTGGGGAAGTCCAGACCCCCTCACCTCCATCAAAGCCCCTGACTTTAGAAGCCACCTGGATTTCCCAACCCACCCTAGCCCAGGTGACAAGGTCGTTGAGAAGCAATCACTTACAAAACAGCCATGGACGCGGGGGGAGAGAGGCGCTGGAGCGCCCCCCATCACTGCTGGGCAACTGAGCCTCGGTCCCCACCCCAGGACAGCCAAGACTGCGCCACCCCTGCCTTCATGCGACCCTACGGTCTGGAAGATGGAGTCTCCACACTTCTGACGGGAAAAGATCAAGGTGTCAGCCGAGAATGTCCAAGGAGGAATTCGGAGAGGCAGGGACCAGAATGCAAGGGGAGACCTTCACGCGCACAGGCATAGAGACCGCCTCTGCCAGCATCCGCGGCCACCCTCCCCATCCTGCCCTACTCTGGTATAAGAGCGGAGCCCCTAGAACTAACTGAACCCATTCTCCCAGCGCCTCCCCTCACCCTAGATTCTGCTGCCGGACTAGTGCCCATCAGCACTCAACACCCCTTCCCCCCACCCCGGAGCGACTGCCTGCCTCCAGCCCCACCCCCAACCGTGCCCCCAAGCCTGGTTGTTCACCACCTCTATCTACCCAACATTTCCGTTCACAATTCCCTTCCTTCCCTCCTTCATCTGCCCTTCCTCCACCAACCCCCCCCCAAACACACACCCCACAAACCCAACCGCCCCCCCCCACCTCGCAACCCAAGTCCAGGCGCACAGACTGAGGCAGCATATATTCTCCCGCCCCAGCCAAGGTCATCTATCACGCGGTGCGGGGGCAGGCGGGTAAGATGAGTTGGGAATTGGAGTTTGAGGGAACCCTATTCCACCTTACGAGCCCCCACCCCCGTTAATATCTGAGAAGAGTAGTATGGACTTGGTTAAGGTAGAGAAAAACACCCCTCCTCCATACATATATATGTAAAATATATATATATGTGTGTGTGTGTATGTGTATATATATATATTTCCTTCTCTGATCAGCACAGCAACCGCCATAAATGTCCATTCAAACCACCAGCAATCCCCTCACCCCTGATGAGGGACGGTCACCCTCCCCACAAGCAAAGCATCGGAGGATAAAATGGCTGCAAGGCAAGGCGAGGCTGCTTCTGCCCCGGGGCGGGGTGGAGCTGAGAAACTGAGAGAGGGGTCTCACCTGGGATGAGTCCCCCAGATAAGGGAGTCCGGGTGAGGGCGGGGGTCCCGGCAGCGGGGCAGGCGGCAGCGGCGTCTGCTCTGGGTACCAGGGGAAGCAGCAATGCAGACCTGCCCCCCCACAGGCTCCGGCCCCGCCTCCGCCCTCCCCCCGCCCTCCCCCGCCCCCCCGCACTGTGAGCGTCGGGAGAGACCATTGTTGGGGGGTGGGGGGTGTGGAAGAAAAAAGAGGATGGGGAGGGACTCGGGGCTCCGGGGAGAGGTGGTGAGGGAGCTGGGGGGGCTGTCACAGGGGCAGCTGGAGATGACACCAGCCCCTCCTAGTTAAAGACTAAAGGATCTAAGGAAAGTAATACTGATGTCAGGAAGGCAAGGGGGAAGACAGAAAGGGAGATGGTGAACGAGGCAGCCCCTTCCTCAGCGCCTCAGTCCCAGAATGGGAAGACCCACGAATTTTAGGGACTCGCTCTGCCTTCAAATCGCGTCCCTTTCCCTTCCTCACTGTTCCCAGCCAAACTCCCAAATCTGGACTGCTCACACTCCAAGTTTACCTGGCTGTTTCAGAGAAAGCAAGAGTAACAAAATGTGGTTTTTATCCTGAACTGCCAGAGAAGGAAACTCCTGGATCCTTGTTATCTCTTTCCAGAGGTAGTCCAGACTATTTATTTCCAATCAGACCTCCTTGTCCTCCGTTCTGCTGGTGACAGCAGAGGTTGGGGAAGCTGCAGGGGTTTAACGGGCATGACCAATTGGGCATCTCCCCTTCCAATTATTTGCTTCTTCTTGTTGTTGTTTAGTCCGTAAGTCATATCTACTCTTTATCAACTCCATAGACTAACTGGCCAGGCTCCTCTGTCCATGGGATTTCCCAGGCAAGCCTGAAGTGGGTTGCCATTTCCTTTTCCAGAAGATCTTCCTGATCCCAGGGATCTCCTGCATCTCCTTCATTGGCAGGTGGATTCTTTACCACTGAGCCACCAGGGAAGCCCCAGGTATTTGTTA